TGGGGCGGGGGCTTGCTGCCACCAGGGATGCCGGAGTGGTGCTCCGGTGCACTCCGGCCCCAAACAACCGTGGCAGTACCTGTAGCTTGCCATATTTAGATGCTGCAGCAGCTTGTGGTTAATGCAAGCCAACAAGTGGAGCAAGGAATTGATACATGTGCATGGAGAAACTCCCTTGGGTTTGCACTGTTCTGGAGTTGTGAACGATGACTAATTGACGGTGCAGTCAGAAGAGTCACGCACCGATTTTGACTGTAATTTGCTTTAGTTCAGGGGTATGGTTGGATGGCACATGATACAACCAGATTGCTAAAGCTGAGCAACTATGGTGCTACTCAGTGCCTGGATGGGAGATCACCTGGGAATTCTGTGTCGCCCCAAGTTCCATGGTGAATGGAAAGCAGGGTTAAGATGAATAGACTCCAGTGGAATTTTTTTAATTGGTAAGGAAGATGGCACACTTCCTCCCATTTAGTTATAATGCAGTTGCTTGGAGCAGAAAGCCAGCATTTTGTACATTGCTACTTTATATAGATATTTCACTCAGTTGGGTGTGACACTGTATATTCATACAGTGAAGATGGTATGTGCGAAATGCTTGGTAAGAGCTGTAGGCAAGTGCAGTTTCCTACAATCAGCTTAAGTGGAGGCTGACTCTTACAATGCAAACCTAGGGCCAATTGCCACAATCCTTTTTAGCATGTTACTGTATATTGTTGACATTGTGTTATAGTTCTGCCTGCATTGATCTGATTGTCACCTATGCTAATAAATTATCGGTCCTCTGAGGTGTTACTGTATAAATCCATGTAGTATCATTGATGACTTTTTTTGTCAGTTTGGTGTAGTGGTTAAGTGCCAGTTTGGGAGAACCAGGTTTGATTCCCCACTCCTCCACTCGCAGCTGCTGGATGACCTTGGGCAAGCCATAGTTCTGACAAGAGCTGTCCTTGAAAGAGCAGTTAAAACAGCTCTCTCAGCCCCACCCACCTCACAGGGTGTCTGTTGTGGGGAGGGGAAGGGAAAGGAGTTTGTAAGCCGCTCTGAGACTCTGAGTGAAGGGCGGGGTATAAATCCAATCTCTTTTTCTTCTACTACTACTGTTATTTAGCCACAGATTCAGCATCTTTCCTGGAACTGACAGCTCGGATCTACTGGGGACGGTAAAGTGTCTGACAATGGGGTTCATTTGCTTATTCAGTACTTGGTGGATTGTGAGTCTAGGAATAATTTTGGATTTCTCAGCCCTAGTGCCTTGGTCGAGAGATTCCCTATGTTGATTTTGCTCCACCCCTGTGGAAACAGAACCTGTGATTCTTTTCCTACCATTTTCTTTTTCCTTTGACTGGATGCCTTCTATAAAATGTACATATTTTTCAGCATTATTTTTTGGCAGATTTTTATTGGGATCTGAATTTAAATTATCTTTACTGTACTTAAAAGTATCGTACAGACAGCATGTAAAAATCCTGTAGTATAGCACAATACAAAAGTGATGGTGAGAAGTGGAAAAGTTAAGCTGTTGACAAATTGTAAATATTAAAAGAAGCAAAATTGGGAATGCTTGCTTATCCCTAATCCTGAGATTGAAAGTCCCCGTGAGCTTGCATGTAAGCCAGGACGCTTAAGATCAGTCCCAGGATTGCAGAATGGCGTCCTAGAGACTCCCCATGGCTTCTTTTGTTTGAATGTTGTTTATGTCTGCAGCCCTATCTCTGACCTGCCTTCTGGAGTCTGAGAAGAGCAGTTTACCATAAGTTGCTGTCAGCAGATATCTAGAATTCTGCCCCTGTATGTTGATAGTATAATTCTTTCCAGTAGAATTTTGGTGCATTTCTGCTAAAGGTTTAGGAATGAAGTGGGATCTGGGTGGGCTGCCTAGACAGGTCCCAGCACCTACTCTGTGATAAATTAAAAGAATTTTACTACTGGGGGGGGGGGACATAGAAGGGGGGGGGGAGGAACATAGAGAAGGGGTTAACCATAGCTATCAAGAATGGCTTTTAAGGAACAATACTGGGACGTTATGGTTTAGATATCACCCATCTTTCTCAGGGCTATTGGAAGATCAAGACTGGTTTATTCAAACAGGCAGTTTCTATCGTTTGGCAAGAAAAGCTGTTACTAGTTGGTTATCTCAACATTTGTATGTTTTAATCATTTAAAAATGCTTATGGTTATGCCAAGTATGTGCAAATAGTGTCCAGTGTATCAGAGTGGTGCCAGATTATTAAGGGATTTGTTAAAATTGTTTCTTTAAAGACAGTTGGCAAAGGACCCTTAATTAGATAGTCATGTTATAAATTATGGATATGTATAGATTAGTGAATCTTGGTTGACCTAGTTCCTTGCTTATGTGTAGAATGCTCATCCTGTCAATGTGCTAGTGGTGGGGTTGAGTCATGCTTGAACTGTTTGAAAAGCCTACCTGGTAGGTTGTGCTCAGTGAGTGTTTTTTTTTTTAAATTGACATCTAAGAATGTAGAGAATGAATTCTATTGTTTGTAGCTTTGAGTTGAAACCTGGTACAACAAGAGCTGGCCATATTTGGGATATTGATAAATTACCAACCAATAAACAGTATTGGCTAGGATCAGTTCTTTACTATGCAAGCAGCTGGGATCTATATTGCAATTATGTTATATACAAGTATTAGCACCACTTGCGTGTAAAACAATTTACTTTCAATTAGCATAATCTTCAGCAGCATTGTAAGCATCTAAAAAGGCACGCAGGGTGAAATTATCAGTAAAAATATAGTAAACATTCAGTAGATTTTACTACTGGCTATATTTTCCCACTAGATATAACTAAAGCTGAGCCTTCAACATTTTTGTGCAAATGTTGCTTTAATTGATTTTTTAAAAATCCCACTTTTGTCTGTCTGGTGTTTACAATGCACCATATTTAAACTTCTGTGCTTGCCTAGAAACTATTTTAGGGGACAGAATGAATTTTTTTAAAAAAATTCTGCTAGCTCAAAATAGGCTGCTGCTTAAATTAGCAATCTGTTAGTGCAGACTAATTTTCTGCAATTGTAGAAAAATATGGAAGTTCTGGAATGTGTTGAATAGAGAGCAGTTGGGTGAATTGTCATTCCCTGATGCATTGAAAAAGCACATCTCACTCATATCTGGTTATGATTATACGTATTTATAACATTCTCTGATTATACTTATTTATAATGTTCTCTGAACTAATGACTTCTGGTAGCATTTTTATGTGATCAGCTGTGCTTTTTCTTTACAAAGCTTGGTATGCT